TAACAGGTGCCTTACTACTAGGAACAAGAAGCTAGTAGAAACAATAAAGTAGAAACATTATCGGGTGATGACTAGAAACAATGTATAAATTTTAAGTCATCACCCGATCCACCAAACGAGGCATGTTTTCGTACCGCTTTTTCGGCCGGTGGATCGAAATTCTGGCACCAGCATCAGGCGTATCATATGACATTCACATGGTCAATCAAGTATGGAAGAACACGTCAACACGTCCCTTTCAAAAACAGTCAAAGGATACTACATATGATTCCCAGGAACTCTGGGAAAGTGCTTTACGGGCTCGTAAGGTTCGTAGCAAGTGTTTCAGGAACTTCTCGTCTGCCAGGCTTCGTTCCTGATCATCTGAACGAAGGCATTTGCAGAGCGCTGGCACACACCTCTCCGTGCATTTGGGGGCAATCACCTCCAGAGGTGGTGCAGGTCATTTGAACAACACAGCAAACAAATAACCAAACAAAACGCCAGATGTTCTACTGCTGCGATGCTGAATAGGTACAACCTCAAGGAACACCATGGAACATGGATGAACATGGCAGGCTTGGTTAGATGCTCAACCAAGCTCCCATGGCACAAACTCAGGCGAAGAGCTCTTCGTTGGGGCTATGTGTACAGGATGAAAACCAGTCGAGTGTGTTTGGCTTCAGTGAACATAATTTGGGTGTAGCCGGTATAGCTCAAAATGGAATACACCGAAAACCCACTGACCCTTTGGCAAACTGCACACACACAAACCAAATCCAGGGAGGGTGGGACAGGGGCGGCGGGTCTTGGTCTTATCATGAGGCCAATCGTTGGAGTCCTCAAGAACGAGCATTTATCTCGTTCCATGTGCATCAATTTACGAGTGCGAGAGATTGCCAAGCAACTTTGGGAACCATCATGTGTGGCAGCTGACTCACGCGCACCAAAAATCAGTGTCACCGCCTTGAACGCCTCTAAGGCTTCAAGGACCTTTTTGGCATCATAACCTGGAGGCGTGGGGCGCTGGGGATGGATCACCGTGTTTGTTTTGTGGGCACAGCTGTCAATGGAGATTGGATTGGTTTGTAGAAGAAATGCCAGCAACTCATGCCGCCACACTGTAGTCTTGTGAGATTTGCATAAATATATATATAACATATATAGGTGGTGGAGAATAGCTTCTTCCAACAGTACCCCCAAACATGAGTACACTTAACATCACTTAACAAGGCTTCCAAGTTTCTGTCCGAGGAACTCTTCGCATAAGCAAAGACCGTCTCAAAGTCCACTACCAAGGAGATCAACAAGGAAGAGGCACCTGCCGATCCCACAATGTTCAAGTCCAGTCAAACGACTCTTATTACTTCTTATTCGACGGCGATTCGAGGACTGTCGACTGTCGCCTCCCAACGGACCCTGTGCGTCTCTGTTTCCATCTTCACAAGACGATCCGGCGACCCGAAAATCACAGCGACCATCCAGCCGTGGTACCTGGCAGAATGTCGTGTGTATTCCTTGCGTTCGATTTTCAGCTCTTCGGTGTTTTTCTGTTCTCCAGCTGGACAGACCGAACATCGGACCCAACCCGGTTTCGGCGACGGTTTCGACGCTGGATGAATCCGCGTTTTCTCGACACAAACAATTCACTGGGGCGTTTTCATCCATACGACTGCAATCCTTCAGCAGCATGCGATGTTGCGATGTTGAACATTTCCACTTCTCTCATGATCAATGTGTTCTTTCTGTGCCGCATCCAAATCAAAGGCACATAACTCTCTCTCACACACAGATGGCCTTCCTCCAAGTAGATGTTGAGAGGAGGACCTGCAGCCAAACGATCTAATCGTTGGACAACTGGCATCAACTGCTCACAAGCAGTCACAGAACAAGGAAGAGCGCACGGACGGTGTTCGAATAGATGGATCTCCTACGTGTGATCTTCACCAGCGATCAGCGATCCAATCGTTTGGGTTGGCGCCGAACCGGCGCGTCGCCGGCGACGAACCCAGAAACTCCCCTCCCGCTGCGACACGTTTGGGTCTGGTGGATGCGGAGTGCGAAAGAACCACCTCCACCGGAGGATGAGTGGTGATGGTAAAGCAACGGTGAACAAACAAAGAAGGGAACACCAGGAACAACACAAATTCCGCAAAAAAACATTGTATCTCTTTTTGAAATATTCATATCTCAAGTATGTCATATGACAATATTTTTTGGAGGCCGTGCCAACCACAACCGCCTAATGATCAGCCATGCCGACGCAGCGGACCCCTGTTATCTGGTGCTACCGCGTGGCGGGTCTCAGGGCCATCGAGGCGGAGGGAGGTGACCTGTCCTGCAGACGGTCGTGGATGGTCCAAACAGGGATGGTCTGAAATAGTCTAAATATTAAGAAACTTCACTTCTGAGTCTAAAACCCTTGCTTCACTATACTTTTACTTCTGCCCTGGAATTGAGTGAATTAAAGGTTTCTGATGGTTCTGTATGGACTTGAAGCCTCACTTGTTCTTTCTCAAGAAGCTTGAAGGTCTAGCGCATAGCAAAGGGGCAGCATGATGCTTGGAAACAAGGCTTCACGAAGGGAGTACGAAGTGAGTAGTTTCCTTGAGCTCAATATTGTGTATAGTATATAGGAGCCCACTTTAAAAATTGCACATCTAGCCCTGGGCCAGAACATGGCATATGAGTCAAAACGATCCTGCACACTGCAAACCTCGAAAACCTCGAATGCTGCAAACACGTGCATATTCTCCACTTCCCATCTCGGTTGACCATGCTTTACAAATTCATGACTGTTTCCACGACCAAGAAAGGGCATCTTCAAATGCTTCTTGCATACTCCAATCTGGGCCCCTCTTCACCGACCTTTGTGCCCTTTGTGCTGCTCTGGCTAAATATATGAACCTCCCCGCGCCATTGCAGAAACCTTTGCGCATGTGCCATCTGTTCCCGTGATGCTCTTCCTGTTTCAATTGGGTGGTATCATTCCTCCTTGTGTGCAATGTTCCACTCCCGGATGACTCCCGTTTCGGGTGGTTGACTTGGCTGTTTGCTATACTTTCACTTGTGCCATCTTGCTGTGGACTCAGTGGACCCCTATATATATATATGTATACAGTATATATACCATAAATTTATACATTTATTTGTTCACCTTTCTACCAAAAAACGCATGCAATGGCACTCTGGATGATCCCAGTTCTATGCTTGAAAGAGAAGCTGACTCGGCAATACTCATGTCGCCAGTAGCTCCTGTCGAATGCACTGCACGATACAGTTTCAAGGCCTTGGAAACTCCAACGTTGGAAATGTTGGCCACCAAGCACCGCTTCGTAGGATCAACACCCTACAAGCAACGCTCCAGTCGCCTTGCTTGGTAAGTCTTACTCAATGACTCATGGTGCACTCTTGGACATCCTGAACAAACTTATATAAAGGCAAGGATCAATTTTCCAAACTACTATACGGGCTGTTATTGAGTCCATGTGTGTGTGTGTGTGTGCGTGTCATGCTCACACCATCGGCAAAGGTCGTGGTTTTCATCACTGAAATGCAAGCAAAGGTCGCTGAGAGTCCAATCGCAGAAATATACACAGGCAATCTCAGATGCTGGTGCTATGGGTTCACCAACTGGACGAACCGCCCGGATATATGGTTAAGTCTAGTCCGGGAGCGGATTTAAAGCTCTGGTGACGCAATAAAACACCGTTGCGAAAACAGTTAACGTCTGGGTTTATCCAAGTTTATTCCTAAGTTACCAGGGCCCAGTGGATGATGGTGGTTAGGCTGCAAACCTTTGCCCCAAATTGTGAGGGTGTGATCATCTTTTACGACAGTTACTGGCAGTGGGATACACCCTAGTTGCGGTGCAAGTTGGACCGCTTCCAAAGTCGGTGTTTTCTACGTTGGCTGCATCAACCTCAATTTTGCCTGAAAGCTGCCTGTGAAACACTAATTAAATATTGTAGAACATGAAGACAACATCCTGTAGAGGATTGTAAAGGGCTGATATTAGGATTTTTAGGGACACCAGACCATGACACTTCCATATCAAGGAGTTAGAAGGAATAGCAAGGAATCGTCAAGATGGACAAATGATGACAAATGATTCCGTACGTGCATTTCGTGTCCACAAGTTGCAAGAGTTCTATCCAAAGCATCAGACCTGATCTAGCTGACCTGATCTAGCTCTTGATGAGCTGCCCTGGTCGTATGACTTGGCCAAGACACGGGGAACCCCGTCCGTGAACCGAGTGAACCTCCGGTGAAAGCCTTCGGTCACCTACGGTCATCAGTCACCTGCGTCCGACGCGTTCGTCTAACAGCCCAGCGTCCGACATCTTCATGAAGTGCTCTCCTGGGAGGTTTGGATGGGATCCGATGGGTTCTGGATGGTATCCTGTGGTTCACTTCTTCCACATTGGAACTTGGAACGGGACGTGGAAGTGAGACGAGAGATGCAAGATGTACAACCAAATTCTCGTTGATACTGGATGCGTCCTGTGTCACCGTGTCACTGGTGGAACCTGAAGATTTCGAGTTTGGAAGGACAGTGCTCGAATTGTTCGTTCGCAGTCACAAATGGTGTCATAGTTTCAACGGAATCGAAACAAGGACCATAACGAATCATGCCTGACCATTGACGACCATGGTCATGGACGTCCGTTCGGTTCGCCATTCGCCACGGCTCGATTGTACAATTCACCGACCTCATCAATGACCTTTTGCGCTTCTCTCACCTCGGCGGGCGCCATCCGGCCGGTGCTTCGAGATGTGAAGACGTGGGGCTCCCCAGCGGTGTGGGTTGACCCACTGCCAGATGATGTGATGTGTCATGATATGCAATCATGTGCTGCAATGGGCTTTTGATTTCTTTTGAGATACTTCAGAGGTTTCATGAGGTTTCCTAAACATGGAGTCAATGGAGTCACTGCGATAATATATGAGCTTGTCTCAATGGGGGACTCTCCAAAAGCCTTTGGTCACAAGCAACAAAAAGAAACAGCCTCCCACGAAAAGAACACAAACCTGTCAATCTTCTCCAATCCCAGCCCCGCACCTGTTTCTCTGGAACGTTCCGAACATCGTTCGGCCAGTCCGTCAGCGAAGTCCGGAAGTGGCTCGCATTGGCCATCATCTTCCGACCTCACAGAGACCGATGTTGCCACATTCTTGCAGAATCGATACCGTGCCTTCGTACCGTCTCCGAACGCCGCCAAGCAACACCTTCGAAGGAAGAGGACCAACCAACACATTGTGTGTTCCTTTTCGACAAATCATGACAAATCTGCGCAGAAGCTTCACTTCACCGTGGAGCGAACGAGATTCTCCACACAAACTGTCTGTCTATTTACTGCAAGCACCACAATTACTCTTTGCTGCAAGCTTATTTCTTCATGTTGAAGAACTTCTGGCCTTCCCAACCTCCGTTTCGAAAAACGTTCCTTTCCGGGCGTTCAGGTGCGGCGGAGCGCCCTCTGCTCCGAGGATGGAGCGCCCTCAAGTTGAGTGGCAATCCTTCCATTTGGCCTGGTAGTCGTTCCCGCGCCTTTTGAAGCCAAGGAGGTGCATCACCTCAACTCCGAGTTCGTCATCACGTCCATGTTATGATTGTTTTTCGAGCCGTGGGCAACTGATCAACAATTTAATCACCAATTCTGGAGGTCATGGGTCGACTCTGGAGCAAGCAGTTAACATAGTTAACTTCATGTGACTGATGTGACTTGACAGGGCCCATGTTTCCCAGCCCATGCTTTGCTCATGCTTCGCTCTGTCCGTGTTCCGACTGACGTCGGGCGAGGTCGAGGTCGGTCGAGGGACCACGCACAGCACGTCCACGCAGATGGGAGGCCTGGGAGGACGGTTCGCCCGTTTCGAAGCTGAGGTGAGACGGGGACGGTGTCATCATGGTTTGGAAAAAAGGATTTATCCTTCTCGATACTTCTCTTTATATATATATATATTACATATTATAAACACATTAAACCTTGATCGTTGATAATTCCTGACAGGAACCACAAAAAAATTGGCATGTATTAGCCTAAAAATACAAGTTTTCCCCAGCTAACTAAACTGAACAGCATTGGGGCTGATGATGTGAACAGAACGAGAAGACCCTCCTAAACCCCAGCTCAACTTTCACCGCCTCTGAGAATAGGCGAATGAGTTCACTCAGGAAAGTACCAAAAAAACGGGGAAACATGACCAAATTCGTGAGAATTTCCACAACACCTGCAGAAAACCCGCTGACTCCGGCTGCCCTTTGCACTGAAGAGGAGGCATCCCAGGCCGGCGAGTGGCGGTCGCATCATGGCCTTCATCTCAGCGATGTCTTTGTTGGTGATCGGCCTCGACTGAGGTCCAAACCGTCCTTCCTCGAGTGAGGAGATGTCAGGAAGGAAAAACTCAGAGGACGTGACTGCGGGTGACTCGGGCTGGGCGGAGTGCAAAAACGGTTTGAGAAGGTCAATGCGGTCAATGCTTCTGATGGGGACAAAGTTTCCTGTTGCACGGACCGCAGTCTCCTCATTCGACAAAACCTGCCCAGAAGACTGAAAACCACGCGTGCTTTCTGCGGCCAAGGTCATCAAGCGTGCATTATCGTGCATTCACAAAAGCGGGTATTCGTCCTGCCTTCCAAAAAAATGTTCTTGGTTGTGGATGCTGTATTAAAGGTGGCATGTCCAAGGAAGTTTAGTGGGAGATGCACAAAGTGCTGTTTCTACTGTTTCTACTATGCACCTGCTTCTTTTTGCCGGCTAAAGCTTTGCTATGCGACACACAAATTGTCCGCTGCCGCCTTGGCTTGTTCCGTTTAAAGCCGCAAGACAGTTATTCTCTCCACGCGGATCTCTCGCCCAGTTCTTCAAAAATGCATGCGCAGTCAACCTGCTGAGATGTTCAGCTTCGGTACTTTCTCAACACCAATGCCACTGACAGGCGTAGACTTTGTTTATTGCATGTGTGCCCTTGTTACACCGTGATCGTTTCTTTTGTTTTCCTTCTCGCTGGTTGAACTTTGTCGTTGACAGTTGGTATCCTGACCCTTTAAATATATAAACGAGTTCTCGAATCGCTCAAGAGAGATCTATGGCTTTTGGGGCCATTTGTTTGGATCCTGATTATTACTATTGTAAAGTACACTCCATGTACTTTAGGTTCAGCTGTCAACTTGTGTTTTCCGAATCCTTTCATCCGCCAGAGGGCGGGTACTCGAGAGCTCAGCATCGGCCGCGAAAAAGGAGACTTCGTCCGCTCCTTTTGTTTCTGGGGAACTTCGCGTGTCCACAGAACCTGCTACTTGCACAACAACAACTGAACATACACACACCAGCAACAACACCTCACTGAACACCACTCCACAGACACGACTGCTCCAGCACCCATGGCTGGCACCACGACCTTAGACACCACCAGCCTGAGGGATAGCTTTATCCCACAGTTTGACGGCCAGCCACAGTCCTACAGAGAATGGAGGAAGAGAATAGCAATATACCACCACAAGATGACCCTCCAGAAAAGATCCGGTGAGAGCCTGCTCAATCTCATCGGAAGCTTGCAGGGTGCTGCATGGAAAGTCGTTGAAGACTACGATCTCAAGAAGATCGAAAAGGAGGGAGCCTTCGATGAGTTGATGGGCATGCTGGATAAGGCATTCGCCTGTGACGACAGAGTTCAAATGCCACAGGATTTTGAGAACTTCTTCACCCACAACCTGCGCAAACCTGGCTCCACACTTCTGCAGTTCTGCACAGAGTTTGATGAGAAACTTCGACGCCTTCAAGCTCACGGCGTGAAGTTGCCGACAACTGTGCAGGGCTGGTTTCTTCTCAAAAAGGCCAATGTGACCAGGGAGCAGCGACAACTTGTGCTCACTCATGCACCCGGCCTCAAGAGAAACAAGGTCCAAGAAGCCTTGTACTTGTTTCTTGGCCAGGATCACAAAGCAGCCGTGGTCCCTGAACGTCGTCCCTTCGGACGAGGTAAGGGGCACAAAGCCTTTGTGGCTGAAGAAGGCTGGGATGATCTCGATGAAGCCTTCTACCAAGAAGACCACGGCTGGGAAGATGACTATGAGGCTCCGACCATCGAATCCTGGCAGGATGATGACTTCGGCTTCGATCAAGAGGCCGGTTACTACCAGTACGACAATGAGCATGAGGATGAAGAAGAAGGTCTTGTCGCCACCTCTGATGGCCCCTGGGACATCGATGAATTTGACTCAGCCTACGCCAGCTACCTGGATGCCAGAAAGAGGTTTTCAGATTTGAAGTTGAGTCGAGGCTACTTGCCCATAGTTGCCTTGCAAGATGACACCAACCCGTCTTCGAATCCCAGTTCTCCACAGCGCCCCCACAAGGGAAAGGCGGCAAAAAGGGCCGCTCCAGCACCATCAAGTATCCCTCTCGACCTGGAGGGAAGGCTCCAGATCCCAAGGCTCGTTCATTCGCAGCCATCCAGTGTTTGCGCTGCGGCGCATCCGGCCACATGGCCGCCAACTGTCCAAAGAAGGGCACCTCGACGAGTTCCGGTCCTTCTGTGGTCAACTCACCAGCCAAGCGACAGCACACGGAAGGCATGGCCGCAAACACCACCCCCATAGATGAACATGGTCATGTGATTTTTGAGGATCTCCAAGGTCGACAGCGTGTTGACTGCACCATGATTGACCCTGGTGCAAGCGCCTTTCTGATGGGCACCGGACCGTTTGAGCGCTACATCCAACACCTTCAAGAGCTGCAGTATCCAGTCGATGACATTCAGATGACTTCCATCAAGCGTGTTTTTCATTTTGGTGGAGACCATGGCGTGAGTTGTCATTGGAAAGCTAGGTTGCCTGTGTTTTTCAACCACAACTATGGCTATGTCACTGGATTCGTCATCCCAGGTGAGACGCCTATGTTGATGGGCCGCCCTATCCTTGAGGCTCTTGGTTTGACGCTCAACTTCCAAAAGAAGCTGTTGATGTGGGAAGACTCTCCCTGGCAGGACATCACCATTGGTCGACATGGGGAATACTTGTTGCCTCTCACAGCCGACTTCCAACCTGACATGCTCACTCGGCCACCGGCGTTCGACCTTGTCCTGGCAGATTCCGCCCTCCACGAGGATGTTGAGCCCTTCACCGTGGATTTCAAGACCTACAAGAGTCAGGAGGGGGTCTCTCAGGACGCCGGTCAGACGCCAGTGGCAGAGGGGAGCCGGAAGGTCGTGCTGAAAGACTGGAAGCGCATTGGCCATGCGCTCAACCACACAGAGCGCCAACTTCAAGCCATGGTTACTTCGGAACTTCATGCTCCACCCCGACCACGGTTGATTTGGGAGGTCTATGCTGGCGCCTCCAGAGTGTCAGCAATTGCAGAAACGTTGGGCTGCAAAGTTGAAGTTTTTGGATATGAGACTGGTTGGGACTTCGATGAACCCTCACACAGAGCAGCCTTTCTTCGCAAACAGCAGGACGAACTCCCTGATGAGATTTTCCTGGCTCCCAAATGCAGTCTGGGAGCAAGATGCAAGCTCTGGCAGCCAACTCGCCCGAGCGAAAAGAAAAGTTGCAAGAAGAACGCCAATGGCATCATGATGTACATCTTCGTTTTGTCCGGCAGATTTACCGCCGACAGGTCCTTGGTGCTCGCCATGCCCATTTGGAACAACCCAAAGAGGCCTTGTCTTGGTACACCAAGGCACTTCAGAACTTGCCAGGCTATCATGTGGTTTTTCATCAATGTGCCTACGGTGCCTGTTGCAAGGACATTGACAACAGTTGGAAGCTTGTTCTCAAACCTACAGCCCTTCGCACCACAAAGAGAGCTATGGCACAATCGATGAACTTGTTGTGTGACAAGAGCCACACTCATTGCACCTTGGAAGGACGCATGCCTGGTGGACGCCTTCGCACCAAGTACCTTGAGGACTATCAGCCGGCCATGGCATCAGTCCTTGCTGTAGCCCTGGCTGCCGAAGAGACACCCCAGGCTTGGAACCAGGCCTACACCCTTGAGGACAGTCAGCCAGTTCGCTCACATCAAGGACGTCTCATCCAACTTTTGACGACCAACAAACAAGAGGCTGTTCGTGTGATCCAGAAACTACATAGAACCTTGGCCACCCAAGTGCTGAGAAGCTCACCGACCTTTTGGAAGTCAGAGGCGCTTCTCCTGAGGTTCTTGAAGTCGCACGTCAATATCATTGTGCCACCTGTGACATGTTCAAGAAGCCTGCGCAAGCATCTCCGAGCTCGGCCAAGGTGGTCACAACCTTCAACGATCAGCTACAGTGTGACGTGTTTTGGATCAAGAGTGGGCAAAACAAGTTTCCAATCCTCTCCATGATTGATGCAGCCACCAAATGGCAAGCCGCCACCTTGTTGCAAGCTGAGAGGGGTGATTGTTTGATCGATGCTCTTCAGCGTTGTTGGCTTGCTCTTTTTGGTCCTCCTGCTCAACTCATCACTGACGAAGGAAGAGGTTGGCTTTCAGATGAGTTCACTCGCTTCACTGATGAACTTGCTCTCCAACACACCGTTGCACCTGGTGAAGCACATGAACGATTGGCATTGGTCGAAAGACGCCACGCTGTTCTTCGCAAAAGCTGTGAACTGTACTTGCGAGAAACTGCTCAAGAAGGAGGTTCTGCAATCCGAGAAGCCTTAATCTATGTGGTTCCTCAGTTGAATGCTCAGCCAAATGCTTCTGGCTACAGTCCTTCTCAATGGCTTTTGGGTCAACAGCCCCACTTTCCTGGAGACCTTCTCAACCCTCATTTGTCACCACTTCACCTAGAAGGCTCCAAGGGCTTTGAAGATGAGCTGCAAAAGCGAGCAACTGCTCGCATGGCCATTGTGCAGACAGACATCGATCGCCGTCTTCGGCGAGGCCTCCTCCGAAAGTACTTCGGCGCCAGCATTGTTTTCCAGCCTGGTCAACTTTGCTACTACTGGCGAGATGCCAGAGCGCTGACCTAGTCAAGGTCAGATGGAAAGGCCCCGCAAGAGTCCTGATGCGAGAAGATGGTGACGATGGCAAACCCTCTCTCTACTGGATCAGCCACAAGACCCAGTTGCTCCGTTGTGCACCTCATCACCTGCGACCAGCCTTGGAGAAGGAGACTGACACCCTGATCAACGGCATCCAAGAAGCAAAGAAGGCTATGTCAGAGCTGAAGAGCAGAGGAGTCACCAGACTTTTGGATCTCAATGTGGCCAATCGACGTCGCATCGAAGACTTAGAGTCGGAAGAGGAGGAGATTGAACAAGAAATGGAAGAAGAAGAGGAAGACTTGCAGCCTCCTGTGCAAAGACGCCGACTTGAAGCACCAATTGGTTCACCACAAGCTGTAGCACCTGCGCTCAATGACGCCACTCAGCCTGCACCAGATGATGAACCAACACAGTCCGAACCGGATTTGGAGTACGCCCCTACATCCCCTGCACACAGTCAGCAAGGGGTTGAACCAGAACAACAGGCTCCACCAACCACAAGTCCGGCGCCACTTGCATTACCACTTGAGGCACTACCAGCAGTTCCAGAGAACCAACCGGACACACCCTCTCTGAACGAACCATGCAGAGAACCCAGTCCGCCTCACTCAAGGGCCAGCCAGAACCTTCCAGCGTCCCAGCTGGACCCAGACACAGAGGCTCTGTACCAGCCAGCTCAACCTGGTGAGCGTTTTGAGCTGATGAGACGACGATACGACCAACAAGAGACCATCTCCTTCGGCAATCGACGCTATCGTGGCATCCCTCAGACATCACAACCAGAAACAACCAGCACCTCCAACCACCGAGCCGGTCCCTATGACAAGCCATCCACATCGGGCATTGACGATGTCATTGGACACAGTTTTGAGGTCGATGCAGTTGAGCCTTCGTTCCTTCCGCCCGGATGGCACATGGAAGATGGCTTCATCACCATGGACCGCAGTCCCCAAGACTACTGGGAGGTGAAAGCAGGTTGTCTGATTCGCCACCACGTCGTGCCTCGACGAACCAAGTTCGGCCTTCAACAGCTCAACAAAAGAGAGCTCCAACACCTTCCAGTCTCCCTGCAAAAGCTGGACTCCATCCGCATCACCGTGCGGAAGACAGGCCAAGAGCTCAAACAGGAATCTGATGTTTGGCAAAATGGCGTTGGCACCCCAACCAGAAAAGCCTGGACTGGTGTCACAATCTTCCAGATCAACGGAGACACTCGTAAGGAGATGGGCATGACTACCCATGACACCCAGTCAGCCAAGCAGTTGGGCCGAAAGCAAAAGGCTATGGCAAACAAGAAGATGCAGAAAAACAAAGGTGAAATCCGGGAGCGTGAACTGTCCCTGGAACATCGCCTGCTGTTCCAACAGGCCAAGCAAAAGGAGTTGTCTTCTTTTTTTGAAAACGGAGTGTGGAGCTTTCAGACCACCAAGGAAGCCACACCCGAAAGGACACTCACAAGCAGAATGCTGCTCAAATGGAGCAAGAATGCCGACGGCAGTCCCCGAGCGAAAGCTCGTCTGGTGGTGAGGGGATACGCTGACGTTGATGCATTGGCAGGTTCACTCGAAACCTCCTCACCTGCATCCACTCGCCTCGGCAGAAATCTGTTTTTGAGTTTGAGCAGCTGCCTTGGATGGACCGGATGGTCTGCCGATGTTTCAACTGCCTTTTTGCAAGGCCTTCCACAAGAACGGAAGTTATGGGTGAGGTTGCCGTCCGATGCACTGGCATTGCTGGGCGCAGACTCCAACACAAGAATGTTCCTCCACAAACCAGTGTACGGACAACTGGACGCACCTCGTCGATGGTTTTTGGAAGCCAGCTCACGCCTCAAGCAGCTCGGTTGGGAACAACACTCCCTTGACCCCTGTTTTTGGAGATTGTTTGAGCCACAAGACGGTGATGCCTCCACACCAAAGTTGGTGGGACTTCTTTGTTTACATGTAGATGACATGTTGGGTGGCGGTGACAAAAACTCAGCTGTCTACTGCCGCATGGAGACCGAAATCAGGAAGATGTTCAATTTCCGCACCTGGCAGCAAGATGAATCTTTTGAGTACTGTGGTGCGGACATGTCTCGGTCGACGGACGGCGCATGGACTGTGAGCCACCAGAAGTTCTTTGGAAAGGTCAAGCCCTTGACCATTGAGAAAGGCCGCCAAACTCACTCGCCAATGACCCCAAAAGAGCAGAGTTTGCTCAGAGGTCTTTTGGGCAGCCTCCAATGGCCAGCAGTTCAGTCGAGCCCACACCTTCTGGCCAGCACCTCAATCCTTTCAGGCGAACTGAGCACAGGTCTGGCAGCACCACTTTTTGAAGCTAACAAGCTCCTAAGATTTGCCAAGGACAACAGCGATGTGACCCTGCGCTATCCACCTCTTGGCGCAATCCAAGACCTCCGACTCAGCTGCATGTTCGACGCAGCCCACGGAGTCAGACATGATGGCAGCAGCCAAGGTGGTTTCATCTGTCTCCTGACTCACAAGGAGGCCTTCGAAGGTGTAGAGACACCCTACCATGTTTTGGACTGGAAGTCCATGAAGCTTCCAAGGGTCGCCAGAAGTTCACTGGCTGCTGAGGCCCAAGCCTCAAGTGCTGCTGCAGACAATGTCGAGTTCATTGTTCGCTTTTGGAATGAGCTGTTCAACCCTCAACTTGAGTTGAAATCCAACCTGGCCCTGTTAGAGAGCTCACTTCAACCAGTGTTGATTACAGATGCTAAAGCTCTGTACGACACCTACCATAGAGATGCTTTCAACCATGGCTCCAACGACAAACGCACAGCCCTGGAAGTGAAAGTGACCCGCCAACAAGTTGAGAGTTTTGGCGGACGACTCAAATGGGTCAGTTCTGAACGCCAGTACGGCGACGGACTGACAAAGCTGTCAGCAAGGCAGCTCCTGGCCGACAGACTCAGACACGGATCCATCAAGTACACTTGGGATCCAACATACACAGCGGCAAAGAAGAAGCCGCTAGAAAGCCGATGGAGCAGTCGAAACGAGTTCACAACCACAGGACAACATGACACAACCACCTACAACTCACAAACACAACACCAAGTTCCACTGCAAGCCACAATGGACGAGCACACGTCCCTGGAGCAGGAGCCACCACTACTCGAGGTTCCCCAGTCTGCCAATCTCAAAGAGATTGAAGTAGCCGGATCCGCTGTAGGTAGCATGCCTCCCAGCCATGGACGTGCGCTTTTTGCACTGCTGCTGATGTCGGCCCTCTCGCCGGCACACGCCGCCAGTGGTGATGAGAAGCCACTAGAGCCTGGATGGTTCTGGTGGTTGGTCATGGTTTTTGTTGCTGCAGCAAGCTGCCTTTTGGGTCACTGGCTCACCACGAAGGCGGAACATGCCCATCGTGAAGAACCTGACGGACTCGCTCCAAGAGGCAGTGAAACTCCGAGATGAAGCCCTGGATTCCATGATTCTCTACCGGCAACGTGCCATTGAGAATCAGAAAGCTGCGCGTGAACAACGCATAGCCAACGAGCTTGTTTTGCAAGAACTGGACCAGGCTCGCTCGGAACTACAAGAGTTGCAACAACGACACCACCACAGAGGTCCTCCACTCACGCCCCAGGAGGAAGCAGATCGCCGCATAGCAGCTGAGTCTCACTATCGTGAGACATTGTTGGACGCCAAGGGTCTTCTCCAGAGATGCTGGCGAGAAATGGTGGAACACGCACGGACCTGTCCAATGAGAGATGAAGTGTTCATGGCCTCACGAGGTCGTGTCTGGCACCACAACCCGGACTGCCCAGTGCTCCAACGACAAGCACTGAACGTCCGTCCAGTGAGCTACTGCACTACATGTGCTTCTCAAGCGGTACCACCGGATGTTCGCCATGCTCAAAGCCGACGTACCCTGAGCAAAGACCTGCATATGTTTTTCACGCACCATGGCATCGTCCACTACGAAGAACGTACTGCCAATCAGTACTACGTGTTTCAATGGATGCACGGTTGGCCAGGTCCATGGCCAACAGAAATGCAAAATGCAGGACTCGTTCCGCCTGACGACAGCTGAAGTTTTTCCTCAGCTTTTCCCCCCTTTTAGAGTGTAAAGTACACTCCATGTACTTGAGGTTCAGCTGTCAACTTGTGTTTTCCGAATCCTTTCATCCGCCAGAGGGCGGGTACTCGAGATCTCAGCATCGGCCGCGAAAAAGGAGACTTCGTCCGCTCCTTTCGTTTCTGGGGAACTTCGCGTGTCCACAGAACCTGCTATCACCGCAGTTGCAACTATCATTTGGACGTCGGACGTTGACTGTATTGATCAATTTAACGAACGGTTGGCTTGTTGTTAGGAGTCGGTTTGGAAACAGTTTGTTGATAGTGGTCACATACCTGAGTTCATCGTTGTTTCTTTGTTTGTCTTGAGACGTGTCCTAGGTGTGTCAATCTTGTCCTGATGGATAGCTGAGCTGCGCTTCACGACCCACGCGCACACCGTCACCGAAGCATTTGAAGTTACTTCTGAAGTGCAGCATAAAGGAAACGCAGGCAGCAAAAGACAAGTGACGCATGACATCGGCTTGAGCCTACAAAACTGCTGGTGAACAAAACGTGAAAAAATAAGCCAGCGCATGCAGCAAAAACAGGTATTGGCCCCGACCTACCCTCCACCCCACCCCCACCCCAAACCAAGCATGTTGTAAAATGAGCATGACTACACATACGGTGTTCCATCGCCGTTGGCATAAAATATATAGATTGAGAAAATTGCATCATATGTTGGGTCTATCCCATTACCAGTAACAGCGGATGATGATCGTTAGTAAAGGCCTTGTTCAAAATAGTGATAATATGTGATAATTGTTTACTGACTGTTACAGGTACCAGTAGTGGGACAAACCCAAATTGCACACCTCTGTCCGCCGTGAACTTTCCCGTGCGACAAGGAGAGCAGGGCAGCACGAGCCCCCGTCTCGCGGTCCCAGTCATCCGTGTGAAGGCGGTCCCAGTGCGGCGGTTTGGCGCGGACGAAGGGGTTGAACATGATTGAACGATGAATCATGAGACTGTCATTGTTGGGTTCACAAGCCGGTCCTTCACCTGGTGAGATCTGGTGAGTATGGTTTGCAAGCCCACACTCCATATCTTCATTCACAGGCGCAAGTTCAAAGCATCAAGACCCCTCGAAAAGCCCGTGGATCCACAAATCACTGTAGGTCACTAGCAAATTAAGCTGAACACCGATAGAGCTACAGTAGATGACACCTTAATGATTGCACGTTCTTTTTTTGTGCAAATCTGATCTGCCAAGATACTGGATGGTTTCGGATACTTGATTGCACATCACCGGCAGCGTCTTCTCTACGATTTGTGGTGTGACATTGTTGATCCACAGCCTCGGTGTGTCATCACCAGCGCTTTGGACGACCAAATAGTCGAAGATTCTCCAAAGCTCAAAGGAAACACGTGGAAACACGGATAAAATTAAGATTATTCTTCTGAGTCATGATGGTACAGGGGGTCAAACCCAAGAAGCTTCTTGTGAGTCTCTCCGCCCCCCACGAATCTCGTCTATCTGTGAGATTGCGTATGGCCAGCAACTCAGCAACTGGAAGGGAGAAGCGGGAACAGCAACAGGGCTGTGGCCTTCACGAACAAGCGATAACAAAAGGCATCAAAAGGCTACAAGAGATCTTGCCCATATTGATCCTTTCAGGCTTTTCAGAAATGTTTTGTTACAGCTAAGTACTGTATCCTGTATCCTGGCATCCTGTAAAATGGGTCCCAAAACAGGCTCATCGGTCCCATACCCCTCGTTCGCCTCGTGCGGACCGACCGGCCCAAGGGCCCAAGATCGCTTAAGGGCGACGAGACAGATAGACCGACTGGTTCTTTTTTCTGCCTAACCAGGTTTGCAAGCAATCCGAAATCCAAGCATCACTGTGCAAGATGGCCTGAACTGCAACAATGCAACTCCAAACCCTGTGTCTTGAATCTCAGGGGGATGGTCTTCGGAAGAGGCACGCAGTGCACAGCCAGAGTCACTAGGGCAACCACGAAGGCCAGGCTAGGATTTCCTATTCTCATTGGACAGACCCTTTTGATCATTTTTTGACATAGACAACTACGATGAGCCGATCTCTGCATGATCAAGTACCACGCTGTTCTTCGAAAACACGGCAAAACTGAATGAACTGCTGAATTGTTTGTGAAGGTCCACCGGGAACCTCAGATGGTACAGGGGAAAGCAACCATTTCCAATGCTGATGTTCCACTTTAGAGTGATTTAGAGTGTGGATGCAAATGCTCAGAATCCCAATAACCATGACGGCTCATATAGCTAAGGCTCCCCAGCTTTTCAATACATGTTTGAGTGGAAGAATCCACACCTTTGCTGCCCCATTTGGGTCCGTTCATCCACACCGGTCCCGGTCGTCCGGTCGGACGAGAAGCTGTTGACACAGCACCGGCACTCCCAATTCTTCAGCGATGCGTGGCTGCAGTTCCCGCACGGTGTCCTGATGCATGCCGTGAAGAACCGTTCGAAAACCGTTCGAATCCGTTACATTGGTGTCTGATCTGGTCGTATACGTCGTGTATGTCCGTGTTTTCATGGGCATCATAGCACAGCTTGCACATCCTTGGGTGTCTGCACATCCTTGGCTTTTCTCATCCTTCCATCAAAAGATGGTGCTGCAACTTGAATGCAGAGTCCCTCAGTGTCCTCGGGGCTGACTTTGGCTTCGAGGACCTCACCCGACATCTTCTGCACCATCACCTTGTGGTCTCAGTGGCAAGACTGGAGGTCGTCCCGCTTAAACCCCTTTTTCAGGTACTATGATACTATAGACTATATATGTTTAATGCCCCGGTCAGGCACACATATCACAGAATAGCTCTTTGATCTACCTGGCAATGCTCGTTTGCTGTTTGGGAGTTTAGTATCTGACGATACCGAGATCGGGATCCTCACCTGAATCTTCTCCACTTCCATGGCCATCGACCCTGGCTTTTCTTGGAAAGGCCGGTCGTGGAGGCCGTGGAGGTCTTTTGAGCCAAGAGGCCTAAAGAACATCGGTGAGGATGCTAAGACCATGAAGCAATGAAAAGCAATGCATATGATCTCGGTGCGATCACTTCGCATGCACTTGAATCAAAGTCACAGCGTCTACAGCTGGAGTTAACGTGTAACACTAGTTGCACTGGTCGATATGTTGGTGCAAAACCCATCAATTACTTTACTTCGAGTGATCCCCACCATGACATTCATACATTTTATTGTATAAATGTCATGGTGAGGATATTATGGTTCAGAACCATCTGCCATTCTATCTGGCAATCTATCTGACATACTATCTGGCATACTGTCTGGCATACTATCTGGCATCTTGTCTGGCATACTATCTGTCATTCTATCTGGCATATCTTCTGGCATTCTATCTGGCATTTTATCTGGCATTCTATCTGGCATTCTATCTGGCATATTTTCTGGCATTCTATCTGGCAATGTATCTAGCAATCTATCTGACACACTATTTGGCATACTATCTGGCATATCTTCTTGCAGCATTCTATCTGGCAATCTACCTGGCATTCTATCTGGCATTTTATCTGGCAAACTATCTGGTTGAGGTCCAGCGGTGCACACTGCGATCGGATCCTTGCGGTTGAGGTCCAG